TTGGTTTTAATCATGACTTGATCAAATGTATTCGAACTTTATGCACAATACATCATTTTTACGTTATAGATATTATAAATCATATGTTTTGTCATACACGTTTAAATATTAAAATCGATTAATCAACCTATTTAATCCCACGCTTGGCGTGGGTTAAAATCTAGTTACACAACTAAATGGTAACTGGTGTTCGTACTTGTGTGCCAGTGCGATATATGATTTGCTCCATTATAAAATGACCAAAACAGAGTAACAATATTATTCCGGGCAAAGCATAATAAATTGAACCAAGTTCGACATTGTTCTTTCTTGATTGTTAGAACATTTTTTTGTTGTTCTTATGTTTAGATGTTAAGAATCGAGACTCTGTATTTGATCAATGATTTAGACAGTGACTCAATTCCATCTTCGAGATCTTGAATGCATGACTCTAAGTTCTTATGTTTAGAAAAAAAAAATGAAAGAAGAAGCATAATCATATGAAAGAATCTTGCATTAAGTTTCTATGTGTGTTAAGATTTACATCTCCTATTTGTAAAAAATTTGTGGGTACAATAAATTATTAGATGTTAAGAATCGAGACTCTGTATTTGATCAATGATTTAGACAGTGACTCAATTCCATCTTCGAGATCTTGAATGCATGACTCTAAGTTCTGCACATCCTCCGCCTTCAATGACTTTTCGGATTGGAACTCCGAATCCACCATTGTGAATTCATTTTCTTCTGCTTCACATGTAGCTTTGTTCGTGTTCATCAGCTTTGAGACCAAAGACCATTTGCCACAAGCCTTTGATCCGGACATGAAGCTAAACATGGATTCAAACAGAGCAATTGTTACGGCTTCCGCTTCTCCGAACACAACCAAAGATTCGTCGTTGTTTTGGCACACTTTCAAATTCTTGATTACTTTTTGGAATGACTTCTTGAGAAACTTTCTTGATGCTAAGTATTTCTTGACCTCTGCGGATAGATCTCCACGCTTTCTTCGTAGAATAGATTGGATCTCCTTGAGACCTTCTTTCATCTGCGACAAAACATCCTTGGCGACATTGCATAAATCCAAGATCTTGAGGGAACCATCAAGAAGCTTCTCAATCTGATCTTGGGATAGAGCTTGTTGGGTGATGGGTAAGCGAAGCAGTTTCTCAAGAGATTCATGTAAATCTTGAAGGTTGCTAAGTCTTTGGCAGATAGAAGAGCTTGAGGCTGCTTCAGAAGATCTCAATCGGGTCAATTGCTCATCGACATGAGCGGCTTGAGGGTGTTGCATTGAAGGGAAGCTTTTAGATCGAACGTTGGAGGAGATAGCCATTTTTGTTTTAGCTTAATTTGCTTCTTTGTTTTGAGAAGGCTTAAGCAAGCTTAGAGATGTTTGTTCTGCCTTCATAATCTCTCTGGTCATTACATATATACACCTTTGAGTCTTGAGAGAAGAGAGACAAGAGGAATCTCAAGGCTGGCTCAAATTTAAATCATAGAAGCTTATGTTTATGCAGTGTCTCCCTCCAACCACATATCCTAACACATAAACAATAAGCAAAAAAAGAGATATGGATTCTCATATCTAACAGAGAATGCAACCGCACGAGCGACTCTACACTTTGACGTCTAGTTTTCATTAGAAAAATGCAAAACCAGCTTGGCTTTTGTCTTCTTAAGGGAAAGATCCTTATTCCTCGACTTTGACATGTGAACAATAACACCTACTATACAACTTGTGATTTTATTTTGATTTTATCATAATTATTGTTCCCAACACACAAAAATTGTTCAGAGTTATTATTGCAACAACGTGTGGATTTGAAAGATTCCTACTAAAAAATCATATTATAACAACACCATTCGTGCATATATTAGTATATTACAGTTCATGACACAGCTATAAGCCTATAAGAGCTTTAAAAATACTCAAAAACGGAAATCAAATTTTGCAGTGTAGGAGGCAGACAATATTTGCAGCAACTTTCAAAAAAATTATGATAAGCTAGTGCACATAAATGTATCCGCGAGTGGCGCTGATATCATATGCCTCAAGAAGACAAGCCTTGCTGGTTTTGCATTTTATAAAAATAATTTCATGTGATCAAATATGAATCATATATATATTCCACGTTGGATGATTGCATTAGGGTGATTGGTTGGAGGGAGACATTGCACAAACATAGGCTTTGCATGATTTGAATTTGAACTACCTTAAGATTCTTTTCTTAATGTTGTATATATGTATTGACCGGAGAGCAAATGAAGACAGAACAAAACATCTAAGCATTTTCTTCATTCCAAAATAGAGAAAGAAAGCTCAAACAAAAATCGACGAAAAAGTACAAAACTTTTATCACAAAAAAAGACGAATAAGTATTAAAAATCCTTGTAAATGATGTCCTTTGATGAGTAAAACCAGGCCGTCTCAATTTTTTATAAGGTTTTAGGCAAAATAAAAAATTTTGGAATCTTTTTAAGAGATTAAAAAAAACAAAAAAAAATTTGGGCCCTTTTTTCTTAAAGAATTTAAAATTTTTTCACGTGGGTCATATGCCACTCCTCTTAGACGGTTCTGAGTAAAACCCACTAAGCGTGATCAGAGACCATAGGGCTTGTTACTTTCACCGCAAGAAACTGGACAGACTAGAATCTCGTACATACCTTGAGGAAGACTTAACCCTAATTCAATCAAATCCATGTGTGCCCTAATTAAGTGTCGGGATACAATTTTAAAGTGACATGAGACTCTATTTATGCCAAGGTTGTGATGATTCTTCTTCTCTTTCCTTCTCTGTTTCGCTTGATTTCTACTTTCGTTGTTTCTTGAAACTGGAACAAAGAATATCATGATGAAAAAATACTTACAAGAACCTTATTCATCGGTTTTGACATGTCTTTCAAGGTTCGTTCTCATTTTTGTTTCTTTTGAACCATTTCCATTTTTTCATCACCATTACAGAGCTTGTTGTTTACCTTTGCCTTTTAAACTACTAGTGATCTTTGATACCATTCTATTATTTAATTTAATTTTAAGTTGGTAGTTAAACTAACTTTTTAACGAGAGAATATTAAAAGTCTATGACAAAAAAAAAGAGAATATTATACGTCTAGGAAAATTAAAGTTATTTTCAAATAATTTATTTTTGTGATTTCAAAACGTGACATTTTCATTTAAAGAAACAATTTAGTGTTACATCGAAAAGAGATCAATATTTATTCAGGTTTGGACTGGTATTGCTTCCAAAAATTGTGTTGAGTGTTTGACTCGTGCTTGTAAAGCACAATAAGCATGATCCAAGTAGAGATGTTTTACACCTAACTCCCAGATTTTAATTTCAAACTGTCTCACACGGTGTGAGTCACACCCAACTCGTTGACTTTTTTTTAAATAGTTGATTTTCTAAAGTTTTCAAAATATATTAATTCTAATAATAAATACTTTGTTTTTTGTTATAAACAATTTTTAATAACTTTTAGCCAATAGTAATTCAACAAAATCAATTAATATGTCTTGAAATTCTCAATTTACTATCATTACTTAATAAAAACTGCATAGAGATTTCAGGCTTTGCACTCTGCTCCGGTGGACGTCGAGATGCTGTTGAGAGAGGATGTTGAAGGACAGCCTCGGTTGTGACAAGTTCGTTTGTAATTTATTTTAGTTTTTTGTAATAAAATCTGAGGGATTTTTCACTCAGCCTCCCACCAAAAAAAAAACT